TATATATACTGATTGACTACTAGGCTACTAGCTGTTTGGGCTTATCATAATGTAATTTATATCTAAATAATATTGGCTAATAGCTGTATTTGCTACATATTACTGCTACTGAATATTTCTTATTGCGTCTGTTTTATTTATATCATGGAGGTGTATTTTTATATCTCACGCATACGACTTGCGTTGCATGGTGAAGGCCTTGAGTGTGTCCGAAATACAGTATCGTCTTTAATAAACGTTATACTGTATCTCATGTCACATACTATTAAGCCTGTCAAAGCAAAAAGATGAGGATGCCCTGGTCGACATCGAAGGGCCGCCACGACGACTGTATCTAATGTCAACGTATGCAATTGGTTCATTCTTGCAACACGCAGTTTGCCCACCAAAGGGGTGTCTGTATAATACGTACAGTAAGGTGTTCCTCTACACTTCTCGTGAGTTATGTAAAGGCAGGGGTGGCGTCAGGATTTACCTCTAAGGTGTTAAGGGTCACAGGGGAAGTACAGGGTTAGTACACATTTTCTTTAAATAATGTAGACTCCCAAACATTAATCCCTTCTCTCTTTCAATTTGTTTTTCAAATTCAAATAATTTAGTCCCGACCCAGAATCTGACCATCTGACATTTAATTGGCTTATACTTACTGCTTTATTCAAAAACATTAAATCGTAATCCTATTCGTTTGTAGCTATAAACACTTTTTATAATGTAGTTACCGCATCGAACAATGGATTGAGATATCAGGAAATAGACTGACATAATAATACTGAGACGTTAATAGTGTTTGGAAGGCCGTTATGAAACACTGGCAGATGTTTTTTTAGTTGTTTTTTTTTTTTTTGCATAGCCAATGACCAGCAGAAAACTAATGTGTTTTCGTGAGAATGATGGCAATTAACACAATACGTATTGTAAATTACAAAAGCCAAAACTATATCACCAAATCTGTAGGCCTAATTGTTGAGGTAAAAACATGAAAGTAAAATAAAATATTTTAATATAGGCAAAATAAATTGACTATGCCGTGTTGTAGTCAAATTAAACCTGCACTTTCAACAAATGAGATTATTAATATGTATTGTGATCCTATGCGGTATGTTATATGGGGGTATCGATCATCACCCTTCTTATTGTTAGCCTGGGCACCCCTATGTTTATTTTCATCCTAAGTGGCTCTTTTAGAGATCGCAGACATTATAATAACGCTTCCACCGATCACTGGTTCATCAGCCTTCATCCCAAGTATCACGCACTCGTAACCTTTTCAATATATAAATGCGTAGCTTAAGGGTGAGTAGTATATAATGAATAATAAGTATACATTATTTATTCAAATAGACGCTTCCCTGCGTTTACTTTAGTCGCGAGGTTTTTATTTTATTATTATTATTATTATTATTATTATTATTATTATTATTATTATTATTATTATTATTATTATTATTATTATTATTATTATTATTATTGTGGGGCTTATCAAGGGAAGCCTTCATTCGGGGGAGCCTTTCGTTGTTTCGAAATCGAATAATCGTATATGCAGTATTCAGACAACTCCCTGGTTTCGTGAAATCACAATTTATAATACGAGTAAAACATAAGCGCCCCGTATTCGGTGGTAGGAGGGATTGGGGGGGGGGCTTATTTTTTGGGGTTTATGAATTACTAAATGCCTATTGGTTTTATAGCCTGAGGTTTTCAAAGTACAATGT